CCCCACAGTGCGTCGCCAAGGTTTTTATGTTAAGCTTACCAAAATGAATGGCGGAATGCGTGCTGCACTAAAAGGATGCGATGCTGGTGGCTGCAACAGTATTGCTGATGACATTGTGCATCAGCAATGGCGGTAATGTTGCTAACGGAAATGGCGGTTATAATAAAGTCGGTTGGTTTCATTACATCACGCGATGACATTGTGTTCACTCTATAACTATTTTATGACCAAAAAAGAAAATATCCGATAAAGACACGAAACACGACAATAGACGCAGACAAGGGCGTAGCCAGGTAGGGCGGGGGCAGCTGGATTTGCCAACGGCCTCTTTACAACTACGCTTTTCCAATGAAAATACTACAGATTTTTCGCTGTCTAGATTGCACCTATTGGTATTCGATTAAGGCTCTACCCAGAATTACAGCGGACGACGGTAAAGCAGTCGTCGGTTAACCGCTATCAAAATCAAAACTCACAAAGGTATATAGAATGGTTCATAATTGTGGCGGCGGAGGTTTTACCGCCAATTCGCCATAAATAATTCAAAAAGATCATATTTTATTTTGTTTATTTACAAACAAATTTTTGTGATTTTCTTACTTGCAAGTTTTCGCTGCTCTCTATCACATTTTGCTCTCTCAATTTCCCCTACTTTGCAATTTTTTTGAGTACGAGAACGCAAAACCAGTAAAAGTTTTCTAAAACTTTTGGTAGTTTTGCGTACGAGTACTCTCCTATTTTCAACAGATCTATGATCTACATNATAAATAATTCAAAAAGATCATATTTTATTTTGTTTATTTACAAACATATTTTTGTGATTTTCTTACTTGCAAGTTTTCGCTGCTCTCTATTACATTTTGCTCTCTCAATTTCCCCTACTTTGCAAGTTTTTTGAGTACGAGAACGCAAAACTAGTAAAAGTTTTCTAAAACTTTTGATAGTTTTGCGTACGAGTACTCTCCTATTTTCAACAGATCTATTATCTACAAATACACTCATTCTTTGGTTCAAATTATGGAGGAATTGCTACCAGCGATAAATATGTGTATCTCCANCTCTCAATTTCCCCTACTTTGCAAGTTTTTTGAGTACGAGAACGCAAAACTAGTAAAAGTTTTCTAAAACTTTTGATAGTTTTGCGTACGAGTACTCTTCTATTTTCAACAGATCTATTATCTACAAATACACTCATTCTTTGGTTCAAATTATGGAGGAATTGCTACCAGCGATAAATATGTGTATCTCCATTTTCCATGCACAACAGCGACTGTGGAGCGATCGTTTAGTACACTTCGTAGAGTAAAAACCTAACTCATAAGCACAACCGGAGAAGAAAAGCTTTCATGAGCGTCCATTGAAAACTCGTTACCGAAAACCGCGAGATGATTCAGGAGGAAATAATCGAAAAATTTGCAGAAAATCCGAGACGTTTGTTATTAGCGTAAAATGGTTAAATAAAAAATATATTTCGTTTTGGCTCCCCTTACATCATTTCCTGGCTACGTCCTTGGACACAGACGACTCCATTCTACGTTCCTAAGGTGTGGACTTTGAATTTTTGTTCTCTATCCAGCCTGCTCTTGCCGTGTTTCAGTTGAGAAAATGTCGGTAGGTCTCGGCAATAACGACACAACTCAAATTATAACAATTTTCAGTAGATCCAATTAATCTTTTCGCGTTTCATAATTTGCAGTCAATCAGTAGGCAAAATTTGTAAGCTTTCAAATTATGACTGCTTTATAAAATTTAGTAAATATATATAAATATATGCAATTTTCAGTTGTGTCTTTCTTGCAGATGGCCATCGCTATGTACTTATGTATGTACATACATATGCCTTTTTATACCCGAGCGCACTTGTGCACAAGGGTATTATAACTTTGTTCACATAACGGTTGTTTGTAAGAGCCAAAACGAATCGAAATAGATATAGAAAAATGTATACATAAATGATCAGAATGAAAAGAGAAATCGATTAAGCGGTGCTTGTCTGTTCGTCCGTCCGTAGTCACGCCCATTTATGGTTACATGTTTATATCTTGGTAACCGCTGCACCAATTTCTTCCAAACTTGGCACAGTTGTTGACCTTGGTACAGCATACTAAATGGCCGACAATTTTTAAAATCAGACAATAACTACGCCCACATCCTATATAACGGTAATTTAGAGAAATACGAAATCTTCGATAAATCAGTAAATATTAAAGCTAATTTATTAAAAATTGATGCTTACAACAATTATTTACCAAGAAATACGTTTAGGATAAAATTTTGGAAAAAGAGCATGTCACCGCTTATTTATGATCACATATATGTATCTCTGTAACCATTCTACCAATTTGTACTAAACTCGGTATTTTTATTGTGCTTGCCATATAAAAGCAAAACGTTAAAAATTGTTGAAATCGGACTAAAATTACATTATTATTAAATTATACAATTATTAAATTAAATAATACTGTCACCTAAACGAAAATCGATCAACTGGTAACCATTTCAGGCTCAAAAGAATAAATGTATAGGAATATAAGAAACGTACCAACTACAGGAAGCACGCATACAGATTTCTGAACTCATCTTTCAACTCAAAGGGTATCTTAGCTTAAAATGGCTGCGATGGTTTTAATATAAAGGAAGGGCTCACAGCCATTACTGCCAGGCCTGTATACTTGGCTCAAACCGTGCCATTTTTGGCTCTATTTTTCTTCAAATGGCAAACAATTTTTCAATTTGTCATAAGCTGCAAAAATGGCTCTTTTGAAAAATATTAATATTTCATACACTCTTGTGAAATCTTTCGCGTGCACTACCCTTTCAGCAACTAAGTAAATATTTTTGTGGTTTTTAAGTTCATACAATAGGTTTATTTTATTTGCTACATATATTATTTACGCTTTTGTTTTAGAAATGTGCTTCTTATTTTATTGCTGAATAAGAAAGAAAGAAATACTATTCGTTCGATTAAAAATAATGGCGCTTTCCTTGGCACTTTTGTATCCCCAATATGGCACCTCATAGCTGAGGATAGTTGGCAGTCTTAATAACTGCAAATTAGGAATGTTAATCCCGGGATCCCAGCCTTTTTAAGCTCCCAACAATCCCGGGATTCTTGGCAAATAAATTTTCGGGATTTAGAATTTGCAATGGTGGCAACAATAGAAACTCTTTTTCATGACCATTATTGGCTATATTTCTTTTTTTTTTTTAATTAATAATTAAATCGTTTATAGGTGTCTAACTAATTATACATATAACATCGCGCGATAGTAAATTTTAAAAACAAATATCAATATATTCGCGAAACGACGGGCCAAATACAGTGAAATTGCGTATTTAGTTTTTCACTCTGACGTGAGTAATTCAAGAAATGATTTAAAAAAATTCAGAGAAATTTGCTTACAAAAGTATAGGTATCAAATTAAAGAGGAAATCCTGTAAAAGTTAAACAGATTCAAGTTTTGGGGCACTGGTAAGTATTGAAAATGTCCTTTTAAAATTTTATCCTCGAAATTTCACAATATTTGTTTTTGAATAAATTATATGTTAAGGACTTATATAAACTCGATAACATCCTCGAGTCTCATCCTTCTAATTTTATCAGCTTAAAAGATTACCTATTCGCCCTTGAGAATCCAAAAAATTAAAATTTTTTTAAATTCTAAACAAATTTCCTCTAGCATTTGGTACCCATATTTTGATTTTACACTGCATTGAATTTTTTAAGTAATTTTTGGAATCAATTATATCTTTGAAATTACAAAGTCCCTTAAAATAAATCATAACGTCATACAAAAAAAATAAAAACATCACTTAAAAAAAAGTAGGTTTCAAACCCATTTATTTATTATTTATTTTATGGAAAGAGAGCTTCTCAAACAATATAGAAGTAATTTTTTCGATTTAAGTTGTTCAAAAGTAATGAATATCTAAATCCCGGGACTAATCCCGGGAACTCGGGATTGTTATAATGAGCTCCTGAAAATGCCGGGATCGTAAAAGCGAAAAAATTAACATCCTTACTGCATACTTAACTTAAAATTTTTCGCCATCTACGTTTTTCGCGGAAACGTGCAAAATGCAAGGTAGGTTCGAATTGAAAATAAGCCAAATCAGACTTGTAGCTAAGTTTTTAACCACATGCTTTTTTTTGTAAAAAGGTACTTTTTAGAGATGTGACGCGGTCATAAAATAGACCACATGTTTATTACTGTGAGCTCGGCCGACTGTTATGTATTTTAAATTTATTGAAAAAAGGTAATTTCATCGCGCAGACATATGTATGCATATGTGCTATGTGCTTTGGAATGTGCGTGCAAAAAGTCATTACTCATTTCTGTTAGCTGTACAACGTTTTTCACTTTTCACCGTCAAAAAGAGTTTACTAATATATATGGACAGCAAGTAATTTTTACAAATCATTGGTGGAGTTCATGGAACCATCTGTATAGTCGTATTTAGCAACGGTTGAATACATTTTTATTTTGTATGAATATTAACGAATATATTGGTGTTCCTACTATGTATTATTGTTGAGTTTAATGCATTTTCCCCGCCTCCTTGCCTTGTAATCAATCATTTTCACACAGTTTTATACCAAGCAAGTAAATGAATGAACGCGTAAAAAACTGAATGGTTGAATGAGTGCTGACAACAATGCGAAGGTTAACCAAAAAAGAAAAAAAAAATGGTCACAATAGCATTGGCTGATAGGAGTAGGAACATATTGTTTACATTGTGTTATTCTCGACTGGATAAATCGCAAAATGCGTCGTAAATTATGCGGGTCTATTGCGGTCCAAATATTGCCATTGCCCCTCTAGGGGATTTGTGGATTGCTCATTAATTAGCGATGATCCAAATAACAGTGAACTTAATGCTCTGATACTGCCACTGATATCGTATGCCAGTACACATTTTTTCCTCACTTTAATTTATTGTGTTTTAAGAGTACGTATTTCCATTGATACTGGTATATGTAGTTAAATTTGTATACTTACTATCTCCCCTTTCCCCGCTGCTAAATTGCCATTTCTCATCGGCATCGAAATGTGCATCGCCACCACGCCCCACGCCTGGGTAGAAAGCGTGAGCAAGCACCATGCCAGGTCCATCGAATTTGTAGCCATCGCCGTGGTCGCCCCTATAACGAGAGAGATTAAACGTTTTAGTTTGCTTATCGATATATTTAGATATTTATTTGGTTTGTTTAAATTTACTCCAGAATTCAATTTTAAACACAAAATTTTTGGATATTTCCTTAAATTGGGAAAATAGCCGAAATTCCGAAACTTTTTTTTCATTTCGCAATTATGCACTGGTGGCATTATAACCGTTTAGAAAAAATAATAATAATAAAATGACACTAGTAGTTCACTTCTGAAACTGCCTTTTAATGTGTAAGTAATGGGAATTATTGTGTATGGTGTTATTGCACCATTACCCACGCATGGTGGAATTACACTGCCTTATCTGAAAATTTGCCTATAAAATGTGAATATAATGGGTCGATTATAGATGACAACTCAACCGCAGTTGGGTTGCAGATGGGCAACGCCACTGAAATGAAAATTTATATTATGAATAGCAACTATAGTTAAGTTCTATAAAGTTGAAGGTAATAAAATTTTGAAAAATCAGTAACTAAGACTTGAGTGTAAATAAGCTGAAGAAAGAGTTGAGAAAAGAAATAAATTATCTCAATCAAAATTTCTGCGGCAACCACAAAAATGCAGTTGCCAATATAGCAACTCAGTTGCCAGCTTTCAGTTACCATCTGTAATACCATTTCAGCCACTGGCCACCCCACTGAAGTTCGGTTGTATTCCGTAATCGACTCATAAGGCAGCCGAATGTCAGAAAATAAAGCGGGAAAGCTATTTTATTACTTCAGCTGTTTATTGCGCCATTCACCCCACCTGCTTGTATGTAAAATTTTACATATTTTTACACAACTATTTGGTATCACATGTGCGCATCGTCTTTTTAAACGAAATCTGCGGTTCGGAAATAGTGAAGCAAGTGATGATAATGCAGAGATTTTAACTGAAGATAAAACTCCAAACCATATTCTCTGTGTTGAGAGCCTGCCAGACGGGCAATATTTCCGTCTTTCGCACGCAATTCGCTTTCAAATTGAGAAATAGAAATTTTATTTCGATGTGTGAACATCCAGAAAGATCTTTCTGTCACTTTTCGCAAATCAGTTTCAGCAATAAAAGTTGCAAGGTGTGACTGCAACTGAAAGAGCGAGTATCGATTTCGGAAATATATTTCAACTTGCTCGTGCTGCACTAGCAATTTTTATTTCTTGTGTGGCACTGATCGTAAATTTGTGTAAAACGATGGAAAACATTGTTGAATTAAATATCAAAAATTCTTGAAATATATTATTTTACTTAATATACTAAATCGTTAACTTATTGTTCACATGGAAAATTTGTTAATTATAACCTATATTTTGGGGTTTTGATTTTTGCTTATTTTTGGGTTTATGTTGTTTTGATTGAGTACGGGATTACGAGCATTGTTGGTGCTGGCTTGAATTATAAGAGTATCCAGCTATTTATAATTTCACTATTTAAACTTTTCGGCTTAAATTTTAAACCCAAACATTTTCATAATTAAGAAGAAACAATAGAAAATCTTAAATTTCATGCTCCGTTGGATGGGGATTGAACCCGAACAGCCTTGGTAGCGACCAATTGTATCAAGCATCTTTGCACACTCAGCTACAGCCACCCATGTAAATGTGCTTTCATATGTTGAGTTTGAATCAACACCACATTTCGCTGTGTTGATGCCGTCAGTTCATATGACTAAATTTTAAACCAAATTTTCTATATATGAAACCTAGAAACTAGAATTAAAACATTTTGGTTTTATTTTTAAACCACGAACTTTTTGCACAAAATTGAAACCAGAATATATTAAAAATTGCTTAAAACTATTGACTGGTTTAAAAAGTAGACTATAAAAGATTAAAAAGGCAGCAGCCCCAGCGCGGTTTAAAAATTAAACCAAAATTTTTACATACATACATACATATTTTGTGCTAGTGAGACAAGGGTAGCAGAGGAAGCTATGAAATTTTTTCACAATATAAAAGGGATAGTGACGCTCATCTCTGCATACTTAACTGAATGATAATGACAATCTTGCGCAAATGTGCGATATATGTATATTCATACGTGCATATAGTATGTAAGTAAAACAAATTTATGTAAACATTGCTTCAAAAATCAAAATCACAAAACCACTTATGCTCGCACCTGTTGTAATTCTCGCTAATTCCATTCAATTTCACTGCTGTTCTTTTCAGCTGTCATAATGATTAAAAGCCAATCAAGCAAAAATATTGATTTGCATAAGCATGACAATCTGTGCCCGGGCGTATGAGTGATTTATTTTTTAACGCAAATGCAAACGCTTTCGCTATCGCACATATATATGCACATATGTACATATGTATGTACACTTGATCCTTTCATACACGGTTTTATTTTGCATGATATTTTCTACATCCTGCAATACATTTTTTATTTCCTTTACCGTCTCATTCTAAATTTTGGCGGATCCAATTGTAAATCTTAACTAGACTCCCAAAAATAAAAATAGGGCCTTGCAATCCAATGTAATTTGTAAATCATGTTGGGAGATTCATATGCAAAATAGATCTTCTTTCTTTCCTTTCTCTTTAAGTAAATTTCTTTAAAAATGTGATTTCACTAAACTTTATTTTTTGCGGAACTTTGTAAACTCCAGACTTACCGTGTAAAAAGGGGATCAGGTGTAGTTGTATTTATGGAAATATGTATCTAAATGAGCTTATGTATACATAAATATGCAATACAAATACATAAGCACATTTCCATCAAGAGGTGCATAAATGACGTGAGACAATTTCTGAAAATATGCTTTTTAACCGAGATACTTTGAATAGGAAAAGAAAGGACTAAAATACATACTGTAATGTGGAAGTATTTACAGCTCATCTCGTGTTTAAAGATAAACCAGTAAAGAAGTTACAAGTTCGGGCCAAACCGAATTTTATATACCCGGCGAAGGTATCGTCGTTTCAACTTTCTCCAAACTACCTTTGCATGATAAGAAGGGGTGTTTTTCACGATTTCACACCTTTCGATAATATGCTGAGTTAGACTTAATGAAATAATCAAACCAAGTTTGGTAGAAATCGATAAAGTGGTTACTGAGAGACGCCCTTGTAGCCATAAAGTGGATGGTGCCCAATTCCTTAAGGTCTATAGCAGAGTTATTTATTGTTAAGAGGTTGTTGTAACTATTTACTTGGAGTACATTAGCGTCCCCAGTTACTGAAATATCGGAGTTTTCGTCTTTCTGAAATTTACCGTTATACGGGAAGCGGCTGTAATTTTATTTATTTGTTTATTTAAGTACATTAGCGCATTAAGAATTAATCTTTTATTGCGCAATACAAATGACGGGTTACAAAAATATGTATTAAAATAAAATAAAAATTAAAATTAAATAAATATGGTTATTTATGTATATGTAAATATCTACTTAGAAAAGCCAAATAGAAAATGTATGACCGCCTTATTATGCAACTTAACTGGAAATATATTCAAAGATAAATATTTTGAAATTACTTTCACGCAGTGAGTTCTTAAGAGACAGTGGAAGAGAGTTCCAAAGTCTAACACCATTAACAAAAAAAGCCTTGAAGGAGCGTGAGCTTTTGGAAAACTTAAGCTTTTCATATAGATATTCCGACTTTTTATACACAAGCAATTTAAACATAAAAATACAATTACGAGCTTTTATATAGTTTGTTAGGTCACAGCCAAGTATTGAGTTTCTAAAGGTAGATATGTATATGGTAAAATTTTTTCAAGCCATATACCTACCTAGTGGCATGGTTGAATGCAACATCGAGTATGTGCAGGGAATGAAAGTCCAGTTTGCTGTACGGTTTGAATCATTTTCAAAGAATTGCTTTTCCGTATAAAGGTTATTAAGTGCACCGAGTTTGGCAGAAATTTATAAATCGGTTACCGAATTACACATTTGTGGTCATAAGTCGGCGGCGCCACGCCCATTAATCAAAAAAGCTATAATAATCTTATTTTCTGCTGAGTGGTTATTGCAATCATCGATTTTGATACACTCACTTAGTAACCTAAGTTTAGTACCCAAATGGTACTTAAAATACAAAAGTAGTTAAATATGGTTCTAAGTTAATTGAAAAACACATATCTTTAGTTACAGAATTCCATTTGCGTCACTCGAATCTACTAATTATTTAAAAGATATTTTATACCTTGCTCACAGATACGAATGTTTTTGACTATCGAGCGTATGATGTATGTAAATATGTGAGAATGAGCAACTTTTGCCTTCAACTATAAAACTACTGCTCCGTATTGAGACCATTCTGGCATATGTATGTAAAGTTTACTTTGAATGATTATGACAGTAAAAATGTAAAAAATTTAAATCTCGTTTTTAGACTGTTGGCCAGTAATTTCGTATATCAGAAAGATACAGATGTTTACTCATTATTATCAGCAAAATGTCGTATAGTCATTCTTCCGGGTATACAGTTACAGTTGGACGGCTATACTCAATGCCGATCCTTTNTTTACTCATTATTATCAGCAAAATGTCGTATAGTCATTCTTCCGGGTATAGAGTTACAGTTGGACGGCTATACTCAATACCGACTCTTGNCTATACTCAATGCCGATCCTTTTGTCCTTATTCGCGCCCTCTGGGAACGTGAGCAGCCCCTGTCCGAGATGCGGTAACCAAAACGAGTGGAGCCTTGGGTTACGGCAGGAAGAGATGGAGCTTCGGTAGGACCACTGAAACTTCTTCGACTTAAATGCTCACTGAACTCTGCAGCTGCTTGGCTCGCTATATAAACGGGTATACGGTTGAGAAAATATCCCTCCCAGCAGTGGGTTGTGCCACATAAAAACAGGTTTCAATGAAAAGACTAAAAACCATCGGAATAATGACGAACCGTATGACAATAGAACGATTGCGCTTGCTTCGCCGTGTTGTACGCATGGATTACGACGCTCCAATGAAAATAGCCTTCGACTCGCCATCCATGGACGAACAACGAAAGCAAATCGATAAACGCTTGTAGTGTCAAATAAGAAGGAGAGACCACAGAGACGAAGTATAAGCGAAAAAACGAAACCATTCTCATAGGGCTGTCAAACTAGAATGACAGAACAATTATTCTCACGGTTTCACACTGGATGAAAACTAGCAGAACAACAGTAGAACAAAATGAGTATACCCAGCCAGCAAAAAATCCGAAACCGGTCCGAAAGGGACACTAAAGTGGATGAATTGCGGATTTTCGTCCATTTACTGATCCTNACTGGATGAAAACTAGCAGAACAACAGTAGAACAAAATGAGTATACCCAGTCAGCAAAAAATCTGAAAACCGATCCGAAAAGGGACACTGAAGTGGATGAATTGCGGATTTTCGTCCATTTAGTGATTATATTTTCGGATACTTTGACAATCCGTTTTCCCACTAAAGTGTGCGGCAGAAACGTAGGTACAGAAAAGTACCGAAAATGGTGCNGAAACCGGTCCGAAAGGGACACTAAAGTGGATGAATTGCGGATTTTCGTCCATTTACTGATCCTATTTTCGGATACTTTGACGATCCGTTTTCCCACTAAAGTGTGCGGCAGAAATGTATGTACAGAAAAGTACCGAAAATGGTGGTGAAAAGGAAACGTTTTCGGCTGATTTTTCTGAAATTTGTCTGATTGAATTTTTCGTTCAATACGCTTTCCTTCTGCACTTCAGATATTTTTTCATGGTAAATAAAATAAAATTAAGAAGCGCCTGGCGGAATTCGAACCCGGCACCTTCTGGAAGTTAACAGATAGCGACACACTCCTCTGCACGCTCAGCCACTGTCGACTACGCATGNCAGATATTTTTTCATGGTAAATAAAATAAAATTAAGAAGCGCCTGGCGGAATTCGAACCCGGCACCTTCTGGAAGTTAACAGATAGCGACACACTCTGCACGCTCTGCCATTGTCGACTACGCATGCATGCTTTGAAATGTTTAGCTTGAGCAAATAAAATACAATTATTGCTTTCAAATGACATTTGCGTAGCGGCATTTTCGTAGTTGCGCATGCGTTGGTGCGCAGCAGCAGAACTGCCACTTTAATGCGGGGTAGAGGCTGAAACAACTTTTTGAGAAACTTTACCTCACCACACTGTCTCTCTCGCCTACAACCTGAGTTGTTCTCGTGGCAGAAATGTTCCAGTCTGAAACCAACCATTGGGATTCCTTATTTTTGTCATATTAATTGAATTCGCGTGAAAATATTGTATGTTTGTGACGAAATTTCACGGCTTTCAACGGAGTACTACCCTTTAGCAATTTTTAAATAATATCGGAAACGCTACTGTAACACTTACCTGGCAAACAAAACTTGAATATCGGCTTGATCGCTCAGCACTTCGCGAAAAGTCAACTTAGAGCTGCGAGCCCACACATTGAGCGCCTCCGTGAGTACTCTTCTTACTTGTGGAGAGTCATCCATTGTCCAATTTACCAAACTGCGAACAAAGAGAATATAATTGTAGATATACTTATATGTATATATGGGTAAGTATGTATGTAAATAGGTTGTAAAAAAAGATTTTTTTAGAACAAACAAAAAGCAGTTTACTTGCAAGATACTCACAGACTATCCCTTTCGAACAAAGCGCCACTTATGTTTCAAAAATTTAAAAATAAAATCATGAAAGGTCGCCATGTGGCATTTTTGCCAAATGTCAACGTTGTGAACAAATTTGTGTGAACGACCCATCGTTACTCCGGATTGCAAATGTAGTTTTCTTTTTTTCAAAATGCCGCTCATAAGTGAAAAAGAAAAGTTTTTACAAAAAGACACAACTTAAAATTACACATTCGTCAGAAAATGCGAAAAACTATTTCTAAGCACATGCTAATAATTTGGGCAAGGAAGGCTACCTTAGGTTTTTTTTCAACAAATATACAAACATAAAAAATTTGCTGAAAAATAAAAGCTCTGTGTACATTTTTAGTGCACAATTTCCAAAACGTCAAATTTTGAGTTGCGTCACTTTTGAAGATCGTATGCCATATGTACGATTTTCGAAGAAACCTGACTGACATATGTACTTTTTCTTGAAGTATACGGGGGAAATAAAAAACAGTTGTTTCGCGACTTTGAATGTGCAATGATTCCAGCTCAAATAATATGGCAATGTCGCAATAAAGTTTTCATACAAATGTAATAAGCTGTGTCGCAAGGTGGGAAATCTTAAACCAAAAGCAACTATGCAACAACTTTGCCACGTTTCATGAGTTCCACCATTATTTCAGCCGGGTAAAACCTCTAGGTTTGAAGTAAAAAAGGCTTCATAAAATTAAATATATCATTGACATGCATTTTAAAAAGAATTCATTTTAATTAATTCATTTAATAGCAGTCGCCCCTCGGCAGACAATGGAAAACCTCCGAATGTACCTATTCTGCCGTGAAAAAACTGCTTCTCATAAAAATGCAATCGCCATTCGAGTCGGCGTAAAATTGTAGGACCCTCCTCTTTGCGTGACAAATTTAAGGCGCACGCCACAAATCGGAGGAGAATTTCGGCCAAATACTAATATGTTGTGTAAGCGCCAATCTTATACATTTTAATTTAT